TGTAAGAGAATTAAACAATTGATTACTGTTGTAAAATATTACTATGCGCCTTAAAAAGTGGGCCACAGGTCAGTGTGTTCCAGCAAATGGTAGGTTGATCTTGTATCATGGATCTGTAGAGTATCAGCCTGTTTCATACACACTCATTAAAATCCTCATCGTTATGTCCTGTGTATGTCCTTGTGCGTCACATTTCTATGGCCAATAACGTAGCTGCCTTAAATGTATTCTGTTTTAGCAGTTTGATGTAACAGAGAATTTGCCTTTCCCATTTACTTTTTGTTATCCTTGATGATTTTTATTTTTTGATACCCTTGAGAACCTTATTCGGAGCCTATAGGAGTGAATGATCTGAGATGAATGAAATATTTCTCAAGATTGAATACACTAATGAAAATTTTGGTCAAGTAGAAACTTTCATGTAACATACTTTTCAGTTTGAGATAATTGTAAGAAAAAACAGAGAGAAATCATGTGTATCTTTTCCCCTAGTTTCCTCTATGGTACAATATCAGGAGCAGGCATTACTAAGTAAAGATGTGGGCTCGTTGTATCACTGTGAATACTTCTTCTTTATTGTGGGCACACCTCCTCTTCCATCACTAATATTATACTTATAGTAATGTTTTCCATTACTATAATTCTTTTTTTAAGAATGTTATGAAAATAAAATCACACAATGTATGACCTTTTTGGTTTCGCTTCTTATTACTTACCCTGATTCTCTTGAAGTGTATGCAAGTGGTTGTATTTCTCCACAGTTCATTTTTTAATGACTAGCATTCCATGGCATGCATGTTCTACAGTTTATTTAACCATTTATCTGTTAGAGAATAGTTGTGTTATTTCTGTTATAGGTTGAAATAACAGCCTGTAATATGACAGGTTGAGCATCTCTAACCTGAAAATCTGAAATTGACAATGTTCTCAGATCTTAAACTCTGAGCACTGATGTGATGCTACAGTGGAAAATACCACATTGACAGGTCATAGTCAAAATGGAGGCGTACCAAAAATAGCATTTTCTTTTACTGTCAGGGTGTATGTATGATTTCAGCCTTGTCACCGAGATATCTCCCCCCTATATAAATTATTCCAAAATCTGAAAAAACTTTCGAATCCAAAATACTTCTTTTTGAGATAGGGTCTCACCATGTAGTTTAGGCTGACCTTGAACTCACTGTGCAGTCGAACCTGGCCTTCAACTTGTGCCTGTCACCCAGCCTCTATCTCCTTAGTGCTGGGATTATAGGTGTGCACCATCACACCCAGCCTGAAGTAGTTCTAACCCCAAAGCATTTCAGAGAAAAGAAACCCAACCTGTAAAGATAAAACTAAGAACAGTCTCTGAATTGGCAATAATGTTGAAACTTTTCATATGCCTATTAGTTTTGTTAAATGATTTTTCATGCACTTACTTTTCACTCTTTGGTGAAATAATCTGTTTTTTGCGCATTTCTAATTGGAATTTTTTTTGGCCTGAGTTTGCATGCTAATATTTATTTGAAGAATTTTATATCAGAGTTCATAATAAATACAGATCTGTATTTTTCAATTTTTATTTTTGTTTCCTAGTTTTTGTATCAGAATAATACTGACCTGATAAAATGAACAAAGGAATATATTCTTGATTTTGTCTTTATTTTTATTTATTTATCTATTTATTTTGGTGGAACTGGGGATTGAACTCAGGCCCTTGTACTTGCCAAGGAAGCACTTATTCTACTGAGCCATTTCCCCAGCCCTAAAAAATGCTTTTTAGGTTTCTTTTTTGGTAGTACCAGGGATCAAACTAAGGACCTTGTACTTGCCAGGCAAGTACTTATTCCATTGAGCTATCTCCCAAGCCTGATTTTATTGTTTTTAAAGAGATTGTGTAAAATGGTCAACTCTTTATTAATTGCTTGGTAAAATTCTCTAGTGAAATTATCCGTGCCTAGACCTTTCTTTCTCAGGAGTTTTAAGTTACATATTTCTTTTCCTCCATGTTTTAGGATAGTGTAGCTTATCTGTTTCTTCTATCCTAAACACTTCCTTTTAAGGAGCACCTTTATGTTATGACTGGATTTAACACATTGTATATTCATTGTAGAGTCAATTTGGGCCTTTTAATAATTTTGAGCTGTTGTGGAAACTACGCTTATTTGCAACTTAGATTAATGAAAAATCAATTTTACAATATCTTGTAGAATGAGAACTTCATTATTCTGTTTTTTTTCCAAGAATGTTCTTATAATGCAATATTAAGATGAAACATGACTAAAGGTTGGGGAGAAGATATAAATAAAACACTTGAAATAAACACTACTTAATTTTATTATTTTTTTTTCACGCACGTATTTGGTATGGGGTCTCACTATGCAGCTCGGACTTGGAGCAATCCTCCTCTTTTCAGCCTCCCAGGGCTGGGATCACAGGTGTGTATCACCACGCCTGGACTTGGTCTTGGCTCAGTGTGCCCTGGGGACGGGGCCAGCACAGCATGTGGGACCTGGGATTGAACCCTTGGTCCCTGCACTTGCCAAAGCAGGAGCTTAGTCCGCTGGGCTATCTCCTTGGCCCAACAGTACTTTAGATTATTTTGAATTTTCCTATCAGATTTCAAGAACTATTGCCCAGTAGACTTTGAATACTATTGTAAGCATTGGACTACCACACAGATAAAATGTATATATTTTACACATACTATAATGCTCTACTCAGACAAAATTACTACCTTTAAAGACATTTAGGTATATAACAGTATAGTTTACACCAATGGAAAAACACGTACTGTCTTCTGAAATTTTATAACAATACATATTTTAGGTAATCAATTATAACCTTTGGATAGTATTTTGCTTAGCTCATTATGTTAAGTGAATCATTAAATACAGACTTAATTGTTAAATTTTACCCAGCTCATAAGAACCTTTATTTATTTGATTTTCTATTTATTGCAACTTACATTTTAGAAGAAATTGGGGAGCCAAGGGAAGGAGGGCTTTTCTAGCCAGATCCAAAGAACACTGAGGATCCTTTGGAAGATAGGGAATGTAGACAACTATGTATGATACAGTAAGCTAGATCTTCACAAAGTTAGGAACAGGTTTTGTGTAGCATTAGGGTGGGGTTCAAAGGTAGTAAGTGGTTATGTGGGTTTATTTATTAAATTAGTACAATGTTCAGGCAAGAAGATGACTTTTGATAGGATAAAAAAGTTTGTGGAATTAAGAGATTATGGTAACATCTAGATTATAAATTTGTATGCTTACATTACTTACATGATATTAGAGCTAGAAAGGAAAAATTGAGTCTTGGAGTTCAGTAGGTGAAATGCTAAATTTATGTTGCAGAATTTTGCAGATTTTAAAGGAAGAGCCACTGAATTGTTTTGATTGAGTTATGATCTTGAGATCTTTTGGTATTGGGCCCTGAAAGTACTGAGTAGGACCCAGGTGATAGTGAGCACGGTAGATGAAAGAGATCTCAAGGTAGCAAGATCAAAAAGCAAAGAGTTTCAAGACAAATTCCTTTCATTATGTACCTGTATTTTAAGTTTAACCTCAGAGGGAGTTGTAGATACATTGAGGAAAACTTCTTGTCATTTGTAGCCATCTTTTAAAATTTTTCCTCACATGACTTAGTTTTCCTGGATCATTCTGTGTCAGTGAGATATATTTTTTTTCAGCCCAATAGTCTTACTACTGCTCTAATCTTTTATAATTCTATAGAATCTTTAAAAATATCTTAGCTATACTTTAAAAATCTTGTGCCTGTCTTGGTAGACTTTTCTGCCTTTTAAGAAAAATTGAGATTTTCTTGTACTTAGATTGTACTTAGATGTATACTTAGATTCTCCAGTTGAATTTCTTTGCTGAAAGCCTAGTGAATGAACCTCTGGCTTTCTTCTAAGTCCTTTTAGCAAATCATTCTGCTCCTCATAGTCCTTTTTTTTTTTTTTTTTTTTTTCAAATTTCACAATTCAGTTCTCACCTCCATCAGTGCTACTGTCAAACTTCTTGGTCAAGTAAAATTGTTAATTATGACTACTCAGTATAGCTTTCACCTCTCTTTAAAGAATGTTAACTCAAAACTTTCATTGTCAGATTTTTCTGCACGAAATACTGCTCGCAATTGAAAAATCTTTTAGACGTTTTTAGAAAGTTACTTATTCAAAATTTACTACAAATTCTGTGGACAAGTATCCTCTTTTAGAGGTGTTACTATAAATCAGTAAATTTAAGGAAGAAATACAGTTGAAAGAAAAGAAAATCAAACTAGAATGAAGCAATTGCATATATAACAAAAATTTAGTGAGATGCTAGCGATTAATGTTCTTAGACTCCCAATGAATGAAAAAATAGTAAATTATAGAGATTTTTCAAAAAAGATAGTGAAAAGTTATATTTATATGTTAGATGTTGACTGCTTATATTTTCTTCCCTGAACTAAATGAAATTATTTGCAGTTTGTAAACTATTGAGAGCCCATAGTGAATTTATATGCTGTATATATATGTATGTATACAATATAATTATATAATTATCATTATTGTCAAACATAGATCTGAAAGAATAGATTTTATAGATAATAAACTTGAAGCTGAGAGTTATATAATTTATCAGGTCACAAAGCTAATGCCTGTCAGGGTTGTGATTTATAATTCTGGACCTATTAGAGTTTAGTACTTTGCTTAAGTGCCTATATTAATCATTTTCTTTGCCCTGTGAACTGTAAT